AACACCGACCTCCCCTCCCCCAAAAAACAAAACAAAACACCGGGGAAAAAATTCTGTTGAGAAAAAAAAAAAGGGTGGAGGGAGGGAGAACCAAGGTAGTTGATCAAAAAAAAAAAAAAAAAAAGACCCCGAGTTAAGCAGAAAAAATAACAAAATAAAAAACCCCAGCATGTCTCCTTTAAGAAATTCCTTTTGGCCTTAACAGGCTGCCGGCAGCCATCTGCCATCTTGTCTTCCTGCTCCGGGCCAGACAGCTCCTCTACAGAACCCAGTAAGGACCTGGGATTTTCATCTCCTGGCCGGGAAAAAATTAGAAAATCCTGGACATTTTAGATGTCCGGTATTTTCTGATTTTTTTACCGGACAGGAGGCGAAAATACCGAACACCTGGCAACCCTACCAAACCCAGAGTCTTCTGCACCCCAGCAGCCTGTCGACACCCCAGGCAGTGGGCCGCTCCAGTAGCATAGACCTCCCCCCACCCCATGTCCCTAAATCTCAAGAGCCCTGGAAGGTTTATTTAGGTAGTGTAAGGAGAGGTAGAACGGAAGTGACTGTGCAGTTATAAGGCACCATGCTCTGGTGGGAGAGACTAGTCAGTCCTGTGCTAATCCGTGGTCTGGCCCAGAACACACTAAACGTCTTAAGGAGCCAGAGCAGACTCTGTCGTAGCAGAGGGGCCTGGATAGAAACGCTCTGTGCTTTCCCTCTGGCAAAGGAGACTCTTGGGCGCGCCCTCGCCATGGACACTTAAAGGCGAGGTCTGTAGCATCCCCACCCACGTTGGGCGTGGTGTGGTGACAGCTGGGTTGGTCCCAGGCTAGGAGACGCAAAAACTTTTGAGCTCCACAGCGCTCTTCTGCAGGCCTTTTGGAACTCAGCAACTCCAGCTCTCCCCAGAAGAAGTTGGTCTAATGAAAGCAGGGGAGCGGACAGCCACACTGGGCCCCTGAGCAAGGTAGCAGGGGCGGGGCCTCACGGGGAAGGGGCAGGGCCTAAAGGGGAAGGGGCGGGGTGGAAGGCTGGGACCATGGTGCCCCCGCAGCACTGTCTGTAGCACACTTCCTTAGACAGCGCTAAGAGCTGCCTGGAGCACGTGCGGTGCTCCAGGGGTTATCTAAAGGGCTCTGACTGTGGTGGCCACTGAATCACTAGGTCCTGGGGGAGTCACTTCCTGTGTCCCCACCCCTGTTGGCGGCCTGAATGACAGATACTACCTCCCTCACCTTGGCTAATAGCTGCATCGAAGGCATTCATTTCTGACCGTCTCCGGAGAATCCAGTCAAGGAAAGAGGGAAATTAAGGCCCAGATGAATGCTGCAGTGTCAAATGTTAATCTGTCTGTCATGTGACCCATTGTTTTGCATTGTCTGTGTTGCGAACAACAACAACGACCATTGTTTAATGCAACTGCTATTTATTAGATGGAACTGCATTTGCAGAATCCAAATTTGAGTTTACTTTTCATGGACAGTTAATCTTTATTTTTTCCATTGACCCTACAATGTGGCCTAACTTGCTATTCAGCAAGAAGAATTCCACTTCCAGGGGTTCTAACTGAGCACAGATCTAGGAGATGAAAGCAACATTTTTTTCCATGTTTGTTGGGCCAAGTCTGAAGAATGGAAAACAGATTTTTTTCCATGGGGATGGGTGGTGGGAAACCAGAACAAAACAAAAACCTGAAAGCAAAATCTGTGTTTCACCTCAAGCATGGCAGAATCCAGAGAGTAAGGCTCACTTGCCTGCTCCATCTTCTCCTCAAGATATTATTATATCTATTTCTAAAGTATCTGTCTTTTTGATAATGTTGTAATGAAATTACTCTGTGCTCGCTAGGTCTATGTGTGGGACATATCTACATTCAGCTCCTAACAAGAGGGGCATGAAAGTTGCATGAATAACTGATTTTTCGGTTCTGAAATTCTGGGGGGAGGGAAGCCCTGGCTTGATCTAAAAACAATTTAATTGTATTCAGCAAAACAAGTCATCAGAAAAAAAATTATTTTTGGGTCTCACACAATATTTTGTTCAACGTCAGCTGAAATGCTTTGTTTTGATTTTGAGCTTTGAATAGGTTTTTAAATTTGTAAAAAAAAAGTGTCTTTTGAAAAAACAGTCAATCTGAATAAAAAAACGGAAACAATTGGTATTGAAATGGAATGTTTTAATTTATTTGGAATTAAATTTACCTTTTTTTAAAAAAAAAAAGACACCTCAACAGAGCCACAAAATATTTCCGTCAACCTAAATCCGCATTTTCATCCAAAAGATTCAGTTGAAAAATTTCACCGAGCTCGGTAGCTGCTCCCAGAGAGGAAGGACCTAGCCATCACAGGAAGTAGCTCAGAGAACACATTCAGGAAGTGAGCATACTTCCTGCCTGGGGGAATAGGTGAAAAGCGTGTGTGAGCAGTACCAGCACTAGGTGGCAGTGCTGCCTCTGGGTTCTCCTCCTATAATAATGCTGCGTGTGTCTATTGTTCACTGAGCTTGTGGCTCTAACAGTTGTAGGGACTCTGCTAGATTGTCCTACCCCACAGTAGCACATCAGTAGAATCCGATCCCCCTGTCTCACCTTGAATACAGCACACAACTTATCAGACACTGAATGGAGTGATGCACCTTGTCCGCCAGCGACTCTTCTGCATCGTGTCTCTCAACCACGCTCATGTGGACTGCGGTACCGTGGAGTACAATTTGAATTTCCGGTTTTTGTGGCGGCCAGCCAACAGGACAAAGAGGAAAGGATAAAAGTTTAATATTAAGAACATAACAGCGGCCCTACTGGGGTGGAATAACAGTCCATCTAGACCAGAGGCCAATGCCGGGTACTCCAGTGGGAATGAACAGAATAGGGAATCGTCAAGTGATCTGCCTTGCTGCCCATTCCCAGCTCCTGGCAAAGAGAGTCCGGGGCATAGACTGTATCATGGTGATCCAGCCTCTTCCATCGATATAGTTGTGTCTACACAAGGCGGTTATGCAAGCAGGGAGCGGTGGATTTTTCATGCCCAGCGGACGTGGATATGCTAGTCAGCATTTCCCGTAAGCTGTGCCCTCGTGCAGCCGTTCAGGAGAGATTCAAAGGCCACTCCGCTGATTAGCAGAGTGCCCACAACTAGGTTGTGATTCTACCGGTGGTGCACATTGGCCCGGGATTCAGTGCACAAAAAATTTATTCTGCCCATGGACTGAAAAAATCCACCCGTGGATGGGGAAGAGTGGTGCACATTGGCCCGGGCTTCGGTGCACATAAAATTTATTCTGCCCATGGATTGAAAAAATCCACCCGTGGATGGGGAAGATTAGAAGGTACATCGAGGCCAGTATGTCGATCAGGCCCTTCGATTTAAGTTTCTGTCATTGCTTTTGTCTTCCGTTACCATAATGTGACCCATTCCCTGTGATCTGTTAGAGCACGACAGCAAGTAGGGGGCTAACGGCCCTTCCAGATCCTCTGGACATAGGGCCATGGACAAGTGTTCCCCTCTCAGCGCAGAAGGGGAAGAGCTGAGCGGCTGCATTTCTTTCAGAGCTAGTCAGAACCACATGAGCTCTACCTGAATTGAATCCTCATTTATGACGGACTCTTTGCTTAGTTCGTCAATATGAAATGAGGGGAAAGAACGTGCCAGATAGTGAAAGCCTCTGGCAGGAGGAAGGATTCCTGGGTCCTGCTTCTAGCTCTGCCCCTCACTCAATGTGCAACAAGTCAACACAACCTCTCTCTGGCTGTGGGGTCCCACCTGCAAGCTCACAGCCTGTGGCTGCTAGACAGCTCCGGTTGTGTGTAACAACCTGGGATGAAGGGTTGATGGTTGGGTTTTTTGCACTTTTAAAGGCCCTTCCCCCAAATCCTCCTTTGGGAGGTACCACTGGACCAAAAGGACAACTAATGGAAAACAGGGTTGGTGTGCAGGTCACAGGCTCAGAACAAGGGAACCGGAAGGGGACACCGAGCAGAGAACCTCAGACAGCGCCCACTACTCCTCAAAGCTGTCCAGAGAGTCAGGGGACGCCGCCCAGAAGAACTCTACCCAGCTGTCTGACACTAGGGAGGAGAAGAAATAGGCCCCACGATCTCCGAGCACCCCCTTCATCCAGCCTCCCCTCTTGGGATGTGTCTAGACTATAGGGTTTTGTCGACAAAACTATATCTGCGTCTACACTACTGGCCAGTTCTGCCGACAATGTCGACAGAACTCGGCAGTTTTGTCAATGGTGGTAAACTTCATTCTACGCGGAATAACGCCTTTTGTCGACAGAGTTCTATCGATAGAAGGTGTGATTGCATCTACACTGTCCTTTGCGTCTACACTCTCATGTCAACAAAGCGGCTTGCTTTGTCGACAGATCTGGATGTAGTCTAGACGCGCTTTGGCGACAATATCTGTCGACAAAGCCTCTGTCGACAAAAGCCTGTAGTCTAGATATACTCCTGGTATGGTAAACGGCAGCCTTCCCCAGGACCTGGAGGAGCTGGATGAGGTCTCACGACTTCGTGGGGCCTGGGATGGGCTGAGGATAAATGAAGAGGGGTGTAGCAACAGTGCAGCCAGAACCTCAGCAGGAGGTTCTGGGGGAGCCTGGAAAAGAGGCTGCAACCTGGCACGTTTGAGGTAGGCGTGCGCCAGGTTCCCCCTGCCGCCACAAAAAGAGCAGGCGTCGGGAATGGGGGTGAACTGCACCAGGTACACTCCTGTGCTCGTGGCTCCGTGTGAGGGCCACCAACTGATGTCCCCAAATGGCCGTGGGACCGGGGGGGATATACACCAGCCCACTAGAATTCCTCACTGTCAACAGGTGTCAGGTCATCCTGCTATTTGCTATCAGGGTGGGACACGCGGGTGAGGAAACCGAGTGTGTGTGAGGGGAGGGGGAATCTGTCCACGTCTGAAGTTTTGACAGTGGTTTTTTTTTAATCGCTTTCAAAACAAGGGAACTATTTCTGAGAGCAGCTCCATTCCCAGCGCTGACAAGTGACGTTTCTTTGGCAGGAAAACGGCCTTGGAGCGCTACTGCCTTGAGAAAGCCGGCTTCACACACGTCCTCAACGCAGCCCACGGCCGGTGGAACGTGGACACGGGGCCAGACTACTACAGTGACACGGCCACGATCTCCCCAGCTTCGACCTCAGTCAGTTCTTTTATTCGGCTGCTGATTTCATCGACGCCGCACTTCAAGATCCGAGAAGTAAGGAGGGGGCAGAGAAAGACCTGGCTGGCTACAGCTCATCTCAGCGCACACGAGTATTAATTAAAAATAGCCAATTCCCGAGGGGGGTGGGAGGGGGAGGGGAGACCTGCAGAGGAACCCAAGGCCCCCTGGCACAGGACAAACAAGCACAGGCTGGTCATTTCGGGAAAGTCAGTGCAGATAGAGAGGCATGGGAGGCCAGTAATAGAGGGCAGGGAAGGCAGCGCCTTCCAAAAGCTGCCTACATGCCCCAGCCGCTGGGAAGGCTGGGACCGTGGCATGGGAGCCCGGCTTCCCCAGCCACTACGGAAGGCTGGAGCCAGGTGGCCAGGAAGGATCAAGCTAGGGGTGGGCGTGGCTTGGCTCCAGGTGTGGGGCCTCAGCCAGAAGGGATGGGCTGGAGCATGCCTTCCCCAGCTGGGCCTTCACCCACATATGGGGGTCTCTCTCAGCCACGTCAGCCATTGAAATGCAGTGGGGTTCGGTAGCAATCCACGAGTCCTTACCTCCGGATGGATCGCTCTTAAGCAGCTCTCTTGCTAGCAGAGCAGCATCCCTAGCACAAAGGGCACTCATATGACACTCCTATGCAGCAAACAGTCCCAGGAGGAAAGCCAGGGACTCAATATAGCTCGTCTGCTATCCCTAAAGGTGGCCCTTAGCTGGGAAGTTTATTAGCAGAGACCCGCCCTGGTTGTACTTAGCTTGTGTATGTAGGATTCCAGTCTCCGGAGCAACCTCTCTTCCCCTACAGCAGGAGGTTCGCTCCTAAAAGCACTTGTGTCCTGTAGCCATCGGATCCTTTCCAAGCTGTAAGAGGGATTTGTTGTTGCCATCTTCCAAGCCGTAGGAGACGGCAATCACTTTGACAGCACAGATCTGGGAACATTAGTTAAAGCCTTTGTCAATTTCCCAGCTTGATTACTACAGTTCATTATTTGCTGACCTCCAGCTGCGCTCTAGCTCAGGGTATAAGCAAATGCAAAGCCCCACAGCCTGGAGCCTGCACTGTCTTTGAAAATTTACTCCAGTTCTTATTTTTAAAAAAAGTATCTCAACAGGGTGTTTTACCGAGAGCCAGCAGAGAAACTTAAAACTCTCCTGCTGACCTGCAAAGCCTTTAATATCAGAGGGCCACATATCGCGTTTCCATCCTTTTGTCAACTTGTGTTCTTTGCTGTGGAGCTCAGCAGCTGCCGGTTACCTGGCGTGCCCCCAGCCACCAGCCAGGACTTACCCATGCAACAGTACAGCCCCCAGCCCCAGAAAACGCCTCTTGTTAAGGCAGGGAGATGATAAATCATCGCCAGTTAAAAGCTGACGTGCCAATAGCCGTGTGTGCGTCTTTAAGATTGTACGTTCTTAGAAGGGAGAGAGGTTCATTGGCAAAGGCAGCTACTTCAGACTGCAAGACTCCGGCCAAGTACCGCTGCTTCTGCAAAGGGTGCGGAACAGGCTGGTGGATGAGCAAATCTGATCCATAGTATAATTTCCAACCACATTCCTAGAGACAGGCCGAGGTCTCAGGGGCTTGCGTATACAAACACACCGCTTGGAGCAAGCTAGGTTGTGATTAACAATCCGTGCGCACCCTGCTGATGTGCATCATGCTTCGCTCCCCTTTTCTTTAAAAGGGGACTCGCTTCACAGTGCTATAAAAAACGGTGAACATGTGGCAGAAGGATGCAGCCGCTGCCAGCTATTCCATGTACAGCCAAGCCTCCACTTGCCACGAACAAGCCCGTCTCCATTTTCAGCCTTCCCTTCTTCTACCCACAGCGCAGAGCAAAAGACACGGCACCCGTACAGAAGTCGAGAAACAGAGAGGGTTTCCAACAGCACTATATTAAAGCGCACAAGCAGGGTCTATACGGACCGGTCCATACACAGCACGCTAGTGCGCTTTAGAAATCAAGGCCCTGCAGTGTGCATTGCTGCTCCATGTCGACAAGCCCTGAGAAGGCCCGTAAATTCTCACGTGCTGCTAAACAAAGGGTAGGGGGAGAAACTCAGTGCGGTTTGCACGGCAGAAGCTTCTGGCTTCAAGGCTGTATAAACACTCGTGAAAGCTTGAGAAAAAGATGCAGCACTGAAACAGAAGTGTGACTAAGAGACCAGAGTGGTTCGCTTATTAAAAATGGTGCTAAATTCAAAAGGAATTCAATGGTTTACACTGACACTTCTGCATGTAGCTGTTCTTCCAGCTGCTGTGCTGGTGAAGTGTTTGAATCACATAAGAACAGCCAGATGGGGTCAGACCAAAGGTCCATCTAGCCCAGTGTCCTGTCTTCCAAATGGGGCCAATGTCAGGTGCCCCAGAGGGAGTGAACAGAACATGGAATCATCAAGTAATTCCCTCCCATCACTCATTCTCAGCTACTGACAAACAGAGGCCAGGGGCACCATTCCTACCGATCCTGGCTAACAGCCATTGCAGAATCCTCCAGGAATTTATCTCTCTCTTTTTTTGAACCCTGCGACAGTCTTAGACTTCACATCATCCTCTGGCAAGGAGTTCCGCAGGTTGACTGTGCGTTGTGTGAAGAAATACTTCCTTTTGTTTGTTAAACCTGGTACCTGGCGTTTTGTTAAGTGCACTAGCAATATAAAGATAATCAACTTAGTAGTCCTGAAGAAGAAAGGGGGACAAAAATGTGAAGAAAATCATGAGGGTAAACAAGGGGCACCGAATACATGTTGTTCATTCCGCAGCCAAGTATGGCCCCATTCAAATAGAGGGCTACAGAAGTAGCACATGTGAAGAGATGAGAAGCTATAATGTAGGCAGCCCGTAAGTCTCATCAGTGCAAGGGATGACCCTTACACAAGAGGACCTGCCCTGTATACAGACCTGTCTCTGTTTAACCTCCTAGCAGAACAAGTGGCCAGCTTTTTCATGTGCCTAAATTAATGGCAGGCATCATAGGAATGTTTGTCTTGGTGATGGCCAGACGTTTCTAACCCAGACGTTGGAGTAAGTAGAACAGGAAGAATGGTTCAGGAGTCAGACCTAGGACTGAGCCTCTGCTCTGCCACAGATAGTCTGGGTAGCACTGGGCATGTCATTTAGTCTTTCTTTGCTCTGGCTCCCCATCCGGGCTAACAGCACTTCCTCACCCCCCCTCGGAGATGTAAATACGGTAGGGCTGGGTGGTGTCCTGATATGCAACCAGAAAAGGAGCTTACCTAGATAGATTAGCACCCTAAAGCATTTGAGCAGCTGCATGCGCGCCGACATGGCTTCCCCCGCTCACACACTGCACAACTGGGCCCTGCAGGACGGGGGGATTCCTGCCTTCCTGGAATGTCCTCGGGGATCTTTCCTGCCCTGGCACAGCAGACAGCATCACCGCCCTTGCCATTTCCAAAGGGGGAGGGGCATTTTCCCCCTCCCTCCTTCACACAACATAAAACACAGGTTCTCTCTGGCCAGAGGCCTTTCTTCTCTGGTTTCCAAGGAAACCCTCCCGTCAGTCATTTACACCCCAATCCCAAGAGCTACAATCTAACCAGGCAAGACAAACAGGGTGTGATGAAAGGAATTAGTAAGTTTAAAACAAACAAAAGGAATTTCTTCTTCACTCAGCATACAGTCAACCTGTGGAACTCCTTGCCAGAGGATGATGTGAAGACCAGGACTTTAACAGGGGCAAAAAAGAGCTAGATAAAGTCATGGAGGTTAGGTTCATTAATGGCTATTAGCCTGGTTAGCTAGAAATGGTGTCCCTAGCATCTGTCTGGAGCGGACAAAGCCAAACTGCCTCAGGCCTTGCTGCTGAAGACACCCCGTTGTCCGGGCTTTGTGGCGCACAGAGCGTCCCACGCTGCGAGGTTGGTGCACGTGCGCGGGCACGTGCGCCCCCCTTGATTTTAATTGAAAGTGGGTGCCCTCCCTCTGCACCCTCCCCCACAGTCATGGGTCACCCCGGCTGCCTCTCACAGGACACAGGGATTAAAAATACCCCCCCTCTCCCCCGGCAGTGAAGTCTCAGAGTCCGGGTCTACGGGCGTGAGCTCGTGGGGCTTACGCTACGGCGCAGCTTCTAGTAGCGTAGATGCCCCTTCTTCGGCTGCGCCTTCCCTGCCAGGTTTCAGAGCCTGCCCGGGATCTCTCGGCCAGACACAAGCTGTCCACCTGGGTGCTGAGACTTGCAGCCGGGGTTTTAAAATGCAGCGTAGAAGTTCCCAGTGTGGGCGGCCCTTTTTCCTTCCAGGAGGCACCTCTCAGGCCCAGCGGTTCTCCTTTGCATCCGTTCCTGTAGCACATGCAAAGGCCTGGACCCATTGGCTGTGTCTAGACTGCATCCCTCTGCCGAGAGACGGATGCAAATCAAGCACTTCAGAAGTGCAAATGAGCCCGAGATTTAAATATCCCGAGCTTCATTTGCATACTCACATTCCCACGCTGTGCCGATCAGGCTCAGTGTCGAAAGCGAAAGTAAAGTGTAGCCGTGGCTCTGCCAACAGCGGGAAACTTTTTCAGCAGCTCCTGTACTCTTCATTTCCCACAGAAACTGACACCTCTTTATTCTAGGGCTGCCTACACCCAGTAAGGGACAGCCTCAATCCCAAGAGCTACAATCTAACCAGGCAAGACAAACAGGGTGTGATGAAAGGAATTAGTAAGTTTAAAACAAACAAAAGGAATTTCTTCTTCACTCAGCATACAGTCAACCTGTGGAACTCCTTGCCAGAGGATGATGTGAAGACCAGGACTTTAACAGGGGCAAAAAAGAGCTAGATAAAGTCATGGAGGTTAGGTTCATTAATGGCTATTAGCCTGGTTAGCTAGAAATGGTGTCCCTAGCATCTGTCTGGAAATGAATGAGAGGAAGGGAATCACGTGATGATGATCAGCAGTTTTCACTCCTTCTGGGGCATCTGCCAGCATTGGCCAGGGTCGGCTAGATGGCCATGGACTAGATGGACCTTTAGTCGGACCCAGGCTGGCCGTTCTTATGAATTGAGGATGATGATCAGCAATTTTCACTCCTTCTGGGCATCTGCCAGTATTGGCCATGGTCGGCAGACAAAATACTGGACTAGATGGACCTTTAGTCAGACCCAGGCTGGCCGTTCTTATGAATTGTCATCCCCAGCTGAGACGCAGGGAGGGGGATTAAGTGGTGTGCCTAAGGCCACACTGGAAGTCTGTGGCAGAGCAGGGAACTAATTACTGAGCCCTCCTGCCTCTCTGGCCCCTGGTATTCAGAGCGAGTAACTGCACAGCCTTGTCATCCTCCTGGAGGGCATGAGCATGTGGTTCAACAGCTTCTTACAGGCACTGGTGTCCCGCCTCTAGAGCACAAACATGCCTTGATTCAGCAGCATGAGCGAAACAGCTGAAGCCATGGATCAGTGGGAGGTTAATAAAGGGGAGGCTGCAACAGGGGTTGACAGGCCCACCCTGTCCGGCTGTAAATTGGCGATCTATAGCAGGACAAGATCCTGATCGATACTGGGACTCATTGGCTAATCCTCCCTCGGCAAGGGAGGCGGTGAAGCGCAGGAATGGCCGCCCAGCACTATGATCTCCAGGTGGGGGGCGCTAGCGAAGGGGAGAGTAGGTATCATCGGCCAGTCTGAAAGCCTTGCCTGTGTTTGCTCCCCTCCCCTGTGCAGACAAGATCTTGGTTCATTGCGCCATGGGACGCAGCCGATCCGCCACCTTGGTCTTGGCGTACCTGATTATTTACAAGAACATGACCATCGTCCAGGCCATCGAGCAAGTGTTGCAGCACCGGTGCATCCTCCCGAACCGCGGCTTCCTGAAGCAGCTGAGAGAACTGGACATCCAGCTGGAGGTGGAGAGGACCAACGCCAAGAACGGCCGCCAAGTCAACGGAGATGGGCCTGGCCGGGAGATCTAGGCTTCCTCATGCCCAGGGTGATGGTTCCCCGGACAAACACCTAGTGAGAGACCACTGCCGTTGGAAAACCAATGCGGCCAGAAGGCCTGCGGGAAAAATCGGCCGCAAAGGGAATCCCGGGGAAAAGGAGCAGGGAAGCGATGTCCTTGGGGGCGCGACACAGACTTGGCAGGGTGCAGCGCTGTTCTGCGGGGTTCTGCTGTCCGGAAGCAGCCAAGGAGGGACTTGGAGGAGAGGCCGTAAGTGGGCAAGCCCCTGAGCTGCGACGGAGGCCCAGCTGCTTCTGCTGTCCTAAGACGAGTTGAACCACTGTTGTTTTAATGCGGTTTGTGAGGGGCTACTTTCTCCCCAGCCCCCGTGCAAAGCCTCGCACGTTTACTTAAATACAAGCAGGGATGGGAGCCTGGCAAAGCCTGAGCCAGTCCCCACCCCTGCAATCCTCCTTTCAGCTGACAGGATTAACTAGCGGGGGGGGCCCCCGTCCCCCCCCCCCCTGCTGCAGGACCCCTCCCTGCCTGCTGCGTAGCACTGCCAAGCGCCCGGGTTCTGACCAGAATGCCTACTGCGCTCCTGACTGGGCTGCTGGAAGTCCTGGCTCCGTGAGGTTCCCCCCAAATGGCCGGCATTTCCCCCGGCTCCTAGACTGAGGCGTAGTGCGTGGTGCCCCTGCGGTCAATGGCCTCAGGGGCTCCACGCACTGCTCTGGCTTCCAGTACTGGCTCAGCAGCTCCCATGGGCTGGGAACCATGGCCAATGGGAGCCGTGGAGGTCGCACCTGTGGGCAGAGGCAGTGCACTGAGCCCCAATGACTCTTCCTCCACTTAAAAGCAGCAGGGACAGGTCACCTCTTCCAAGGAGCTGCACAGAGCTAGGTAGGGAGCCTGCTGGCCAACCAGTCTATAAACTAGACTTTCAATGAAGATAAGAACTGCCAGTGTATAGAGTTTTCTTGGTGGTAATGGGCTGGATATCACCACTCTTACTGTACTCTCGCACTTTCCCCACTTCATTACACTACAGTGAATAGGGTAGGGTATTTTAAGATTAATGAGTCCCTCCCGCACACCCTGTCCCCCAGCTCGGGACCCCCTCCTGTACCCAAACACCCTCCCCCAGCCCACACCCCGAACCCCTCGGCGCCAGCTCGAGTCCTCAGTCCCCAAACCCCTGACCCAACCCAGAGCCCCTCTGCCTGCTGAATCCCTCTTCTCTGGCCCCAGCCCAGAGCTCTCCCCACTGTGACAATGAGTCAGTGAGGGTGGGGGAGAGCAAGTGATGGAAGGAGGGGGATGCAGTGAGTGGGGGCAGAGCCTCAGAGAAGGGGGCGGGGCAAGGGTGCCCAGTTTTCTGCATTCAGAGAGTTAGCAACCCTACCCCATGTCCCTCCTCATCCCTTGGGAGCTCCTCCTCCCACTACTCACTGTGTCCCTCTCCTCACCTTCCAACCCGTCAACCCCCCTGCCCTCTGCCACTCACCCCCTCACACCCTGCCCACTGCGAAACCCTCCAGCCCCACTCACCTCTTCCCTCCCCCACCCACTGGAGGGAGCCGAGGGGGCCGTCTGCGAGTGGTGGCACCTCTGGGGCAGGGGGAGAAGTGGAGGACAGGAGCAGACGCACCAAGCAGCAGCAGCAGGGGGTGGGGGCCCCTGAGAAAGGGCGGAGCAAAGAGAAGAGGCGGGGCCATCACGGTCCAGGTGTCCGGTGATAAGTCAGCCAGGGTGGTCATACGAGGGCAGGGTTAGTCTCCCCTGGCCTTTTGTGCCCATTGCCCATGCTGGGGTGGAAAGAGAGAGACTTTGGGTTTCTCTCTGGGTACCCAGTCCTGGGCTCCCTTCAGACCCCCACACTCCTCAAGCCAGTCCCATCTGTCAAAGCGGTTATTCTCCGACAGGGCCACAAGCAGACCTGTATGGGAAGGGCCAGAGAGATCTAATCTGGAGAAAATAAAACAAACCGAGGCTTTGCCTTTCACGGTCTGCTTCTTCGAGGAACGGCCCCTTTTTACTCTGTTCCCACTTCCCCCATTTCTACCATGGCCCCGTCTTTGATTTGCCAGAATACAGCTGAGTGTAATCCCTGAGAACAGTTTGGGGGCTGGCCCGAATGGGGGGTGTCTGCACCACACTCCCTCTCAGCGATGGGGTTCAAGTCACCTGGAAAACGTAGCTCTGCTCCAGCAGCCTGCAGCTTGACCCTCTTCTTCGAATAGGCAGTGCCGAACTGCAGCAGGATACAGTTTGGTTTGGGAAACCCCTTCTGGGCAGCTGTTTGATGCTCACAAGGCCTTTTCCCCTCGACTTTCTTCCCATACGGCCATGGGGGAGCTAAATTCCAGAGCAGTGTTACAAATGGGCGCATTCAAGATGGCGTCTGACCTCCAGGGGGAGGTTGTGTCACAGTCCTGGTGGCACTGAGGGGCTGGGTGCCCCCCTGGTCCCACCACTTCCACCCAAGGCCTTGCCCTTTCCAGGGACAGGGACCCCCCGCCCCACCCTCCCACACACAGCCCAGCAAGGCTGTCCACTCCCCTGCCCATTTTCCCCCTCACTAAACATCCCTTTTTACACCTCCAATTAACCTCGCTCCCCATGAATGCAGCCTCATTTCCCACTGAAGCTGCGAGTGTGCAACAGGGCGGCGCTTTGGAGCACTCGCAGGGACGTGGCCCCGCACGGGAGAGCAGCATGGAGCTTCGGGATCCTGTCTGACTTGCCACAGTGGCTGGGCGACATGCCAGCACTAATAACTAAAATCCCTCTTCCACCTCCAGCAACCTTTGCTTCTCCCCTCCCCGGGGTGAGGCCTGAGCCACCCTGGTCGCAGCAGAACTCCTGTCATTCCCTACATCAGGAGGTGAGGGGGAGAACAGCGAACGGGCACCAGCTGGGGTAAAATGCAGCGGTCATCCCCTTCCTAGCTTAGGCCACCGTGAGCGTGTATCTAGTCTGTGTTCCCCAATGGTCCCCCCAATGAGCTGCTGCTCCCAGGTTAGCACCTTGGTCAGAACAAGCCAAGCCGGGAGTGGATTTGGACACAGCTATATTCCCCGCTGCCACCAGACAACAGGGGAAGGGATAGCTCAGTGGTTTGAACATTGGCCTGCTTCAACCTAGGGGTGTAAGTTCAATCCTCAAGGGGGTCATTTAGAGATCTGGGGAAAATCTTCTCTGGGATTGTACTTGGTCCTGCTGTGACTTAGAGATCTGGGATTGTACTTGGTCCTGCTGTGAGGGCAAGGGACTGGACTTGACCTCTCAAGGTCCCTTCCAGCTCTGAGACAGGTGTATCTCCATCTGAGCAGCAATAGTTAGATGCAGCTCAAAGCCCAGCAGAAGGCTGCCAGAGCCAGGGACAAAGCATTCTCAAGCACATCTGGCAGTGGATGCAACTGCTGGAGGACAGGAGAGGACTTCAGAGTCTAAGCTTTTAGGAAATGCTGCAATCACTTCCTCTTTACCAATGCTTCTCCTCCACAAGTCACCACTTCAAACCACCTTCGATTCCAGCCATCCGAACCCTACCCCAGCGGAGCCGTCTACAAGCAGCCAGAGGCATTACTGTTCCCCATCTAGCGTACACAAAATGTGTTCCGATATTGGAGTGATAGGCAAGAGCATAAATCCTGAAAATAAGAGATGGATTAAAGCAAACGCTGGAGGGTTTCCTGATCTGGAAGCTGCTGGGTAGCTACGCTAGCCCACCACCCAGCCACCTCATGTGTGCCACCTCCTGGCTCCTCCATTCCTACTCTCTTCACGTGACGAGCTCCAGCTGAGCAGAATGCAAAGATCACACAGATGAAGAATCGTGCTCTCATTCCGCACAGATGCTTTTGTAACAGGGCAAAGAAAATTGAAAAAATACAATAAATAATACTACACAAAATAAAGCATTAAAAAACCACACACACACACACACACACACACACACGACATACCCGGAGATGGTCAGGTGTGCCAGCAATTACAGCAAAAAATAGTATGCCCAAATACTGCAAACACAACTGCCAAAACAACACCCAGCACACCTCTTGTAGGTTGAACCATCTAGTTGCAACAGGATTTTGTTCCACATGTCCAGGCATGCTCCTGATGAATTTGAAGGGTCTGTCTAACACACACAATTGACTGGGATACAAAACACTGAACAAAGTTAGGCGAGAAGAACAACTCATCTGATGAAGTGGGTTTTACCCACAAAATCTCATGATCCTATATATTTTTTGTTAGTCTCTAAGGTGCCACAAGACTACTCTTTTTTAAAGTTACCGACTAACGTGGCTCTGTGACTCTTTATCCCGATTGTTAAGGATTTTGTTCTCCTAGAGCAGCACTTGAAATAAAAGTGACAGTCTATGCTCCTTTTCTTGAGCAAACTATTTCCTTTGGGCTGCTAAGGAGCGGTTGATGCTTAACATTATAAACAATCCTGCTTCAAATAAAAACAGTTTTAATGAGGTTCTGCTTGTCTGCTTTTTTAAAGAAAACCATGCACTGAAGGGAGACGGCGCAGGTTAACCTGTGGATGGAAAAGGGAACCTTTACAAAACCCCATGTTGTTTTCATTATCCAATACGGCACTGTGGCTCTCAGCCGTAACTGTTTACATTCCCAAAGGAAGGGCTGGGTTTGGACCACACTACAAACACAGCCGACACAGACGGTGCTGATCTTCTCTACTCCCCCAAACTCCGTGAGAGCTGTGTCACCCGGCGCCGGGACTGGAAACGACTTTCACCCATGCTAAACATGTGCAGTATGGACCTGGCCCACCTAGTCAGGACAAAAGACTCAAACCACATTTGCTTACCTCATTGTCACCCTCAGGACATGATCAACCCCTTCTCCTCAGGAGTTTGCCGGTCGGACTCATGATCTCAGTGGAAGACACATCTTCATGGCCCGGGGAAATAGCTGCCTCACAGCACAGGAAACCAGAGCGCTTTCTTGTTCCACCCCAGGGGAACCACAAATTAGGGAGCTACAGGGAGGCCGTGGAATGGAAGCAGGGCGAATGAGCTGAAAGCAGGAATACAGCATCTCCAGCAGACAGGGGCTACTCCATCTTTGAAGGCAGCAAAAAGCTGCCAGGTCATTCTCTCTTTGCAGGTTTCCCCCTTTCGACTGGGGCAATGAATTAATTTGGGACAGCTGGCCATCTCAAGCTTAGAGCACCCAGCTGTGGGCTTTCCTCTCTTCCTTGGAAGAGCTAAACCCTTCTTGCCGATCCAGCCCATCACACCTCCATGGGTCCTCACGTCGACCAGGCAGATGCAATGCACCGTTATGCTCATTTCTCTGGTAGCTGGCAGTCCGAGAGAGGACCATACAAAACCTCCCCTCAGCCAGGCTACCAGCTGTGCCAACTCCTGCCCTCCACCAGTTTGGGGGATGCCATCGCTAGAAGCAGACTTGAAGCTGGTTTGACAGTAGGGCCCTTCCTTGTGAAAAACAGGCTGGAAATGATATTAAAACAAAA